ACAAATCCCTCAATTTGTATCGTCAGCACAGGAGACAATCTCGATGGTATGCTCCAACGATTTTGGGATCTAGAGCGTATTAACGAGAGTCCTATGCTGACCCCCGAAGAGCAAAGGTGCGAAGATCATTTCCGTCGAACAGTGTCTCGGGATCAAAATGGAAGGTACGGTGTCCATCTACCGTTGCGAGAAGATCGCCTCCCGTTCCTCGGCGACTCGTATCAGCAAGCCCAACGCCGGTTCTTAACGACGGAGCGACGTTTTCAAGCGGATCCGAATTTTCGAGATGCATACTTCCAGTTCATGGATGAATACGCGCGGTTAGGACATATGGAGCCCAGCAGACCTACAGGTAATCTACAATTTTATTTGCCTCACCATGCCATATACCGCCCCGATAGTTCAACTACCAAAACACGAATCATTTTCGACGCGTCTTGTAGGGGAGGTAACCAACTAGCTCTTAATGATTTTTTGTATGCGGGTCCAACGGTTCAGCCCACCATGCTGAGCATAGTATGTAATTATCGAATCCCTAAATTTGTCTTCAAGGCCGACATTGAAAAAATGTTTAGGCAAATTTGGACCCATCCATTTGATCGCAGCCTACTACAAGTGTTTTGGCGACGTAACCTAAGTGATCCACTCTTGAAATATAGTTTAACCACGGTAACTTATGGGACGGCTTGTGCTCCGTTTCAAGCAACTCGAGTTTTATTGCAGTTAGCGGAAGATGAAGGTCACAGATTTCCGTTAGGAGCTTGTATTTTGCGAAAGGGGACTTACATGGATGATACTCTGGCTGGCAGTGATGACCTCGATGAGGTCATAAAAGCCACTGTTGAACTGAAACAATTATTGGCTGCTGGAGGTTTCAATCTGCGGAAATGGTGTGCTAATGATGCCCGAGTATTGAGCGAAATTCCACCAAATTTAATAGAAATGCCTGACAAAGTAGAACTTGATCACGAAGCATCGGTGAAAACGTTAGGGCTGTTTTGGAATCCTCATACAGATAAATTTAGTATCAAAATACCTTCACTTACGGACTCTGATGTCATAACCAAACGAGTTGTGGTTTCTGAAATGGCTCAACTATTTGATCCATTAGGTCTTGTTGGACCAGTGGTAGCCGCGGCAAAAATGTTTGTTCAAAAACTGTGGAGCGCAAATTTGTCGTGGGATGATCGATTATCTACAGAGTTGACAACTTGGTGGCAGCAATATCGAAAACAATTGCCTGGACTGCAGAATGTAGAAGTGCCTCGACGTGTAATGGTTAGTAGGAATTATTCTTTACATTGTTTTTGCGACGCTTCGGCACGAGGCTATGGCAGTTGTGTGTATGTCGTTTCAGTGGACGAATCTGGCAAACAGCACAGTAATCTTCTGATATCAAAATCACGGGTTGCACCAATAAAAAATCTATCCATACCTCGTTTAGAATTATGTGGAGCTCTTCTTGGATGTCAATTGGTTGATCAGGTTCTTACATCAACAGAATTTCAAGGAGCAGTCACGTTTTGGACTGACTCCACAGTAGTTTTGCATTGGATTAATTCTCCACCCTCAACTTGGAAAATTTTTGTTTCCAATAGAATCGCTGAAGTTCAGAGACTTTCTAACGGACATGTTTGGCGGCATGTTCAATCTGAAAATAACCCCGCAGATCATATTTCGCGAGGAATGCAACCAACGGAAATTGTGAAAAATCAGCTGTGGTGGCATGGACCAAGTTATCTCACTCAATCCACGGAGTTCTGGCCAAAATCCATAAATGGTTCAATTTCCAAAGAACTAGTTGGTTTAGAAGGGAAAACTATATCCTCATTGCTAACGATTGATGAGACTCCTTGGGACATATTTGATCGATTCTCTGACCTAGCTAAATTAGTCAAAGTAATCGCTTGGTGTTACCGATTCTACAACAACGCTTGTTCCGACAAAAAGCATCGCATGGTATGCAATTTAACTGCAGCCACTCTTGTACGAGTGGCTCAAGTACAATCCTTTCCTACTGAAATAAAGGGACTGGAGAAAGCTAAGGGTGATGATTGTACTTCCACCGAAATGAATTTCAAGTCTTTGATAAAGGGATTGAATGTGTATTTGCATGAGGATAAACTACTTAGGATAAGGGGACGACTGGTAAAACTATCCGCTCCTATTGATACTCGATGTCCCATTTTGTTGCCAGGTGACCACAGACTAACGAAATTGATAGCACGATCTATGCATCTTCAAACATTGCATGGCGGGCCAACGCTGTTGCTTTCGACTATGCGACAACGCTATTGGCCCATTCGTGGTAGAAACCTTGCAAGAAAGGTAGTAGGAGAATGCGTACAATGTTTTCGCTGTAGTCCACGCACATCAAAACAAATTATGGCTCCACTTCCCGAAGTTAGAATTACACCAGCTCGAGTTTTCTCAAATTGTGGTCTGGACTATTGCGGACCCTTTTTAGTCCGCCCTCTTGTGGGCAGAGGAACCTCAGTCAAGGTATATGTTGCGTGCTTCGTATGCATGGTTTCAAAGGCCATTCATCTTGAAGTGGTGTATGATCTTTCCTCACAGTCATGTATAAACGCTATGAAACGCTTTATAGCTAGACGTGGACGATTGGTTAATCTCTACTGTGATAATGCTACAACATTTGTCGGTGCTAAGCGTGAGCTTAAAGATCTTCGGGCGCAATTTTTACAGCAGTTTCAATCAGAGATTTGGAATAATTACTGTCTCAATCAAGGCATTACTTTTAATTTTATTCCCGCTCGCTCACCTCATTTCGGGGGATTATGGGATGCCGGCGTCAAATCCTTTAAGCATCATTTTCGTCGAGTATTTGGAATGAAATCCCTTCGATTAGATGAAATGACTACCGTCATAACTCAAATAGAAGCCATTCTGAACTCTAGACCATTGACTCCGCTTTCCAATGATCCTAAGGATCTAACCGCGTTGACTCCGGGGCATCTATTAATCGGAGAACCAATGTTTTCCATCCCCGAACCCGACGTAACCGATATCAATGTTAATCGATTGAATCGATTACAGGAAATGAGGCGTTCCATTCAAGATTTTTGGCGCCGATGGGCTCGCGATTATATCAGTCAACTTCATCAGCGTTCGAAATGGCAAACCGAGGTCCAGCGCGATCTATACAAAGGCGCGTTAGTTTTGCTGAAACAAGAAAACCTTCCACCGCTACAATGGAACATAGGACGTATCGTGGACATGTTTCCAGGGAGCGACGGGCACGTCCGAGTAGTTCTAGTGCAAACTTCAAGAGGGTTATTCAAAAGAGCAATAACAGAAGTGTGTCTTCTACCAATAGACGTTTCGCAGAAGATCGACAAGGAAGAGAGCACGGAGGTAAGGATGGTGTTCGACGAAAACCTTCACGGGAAGGAAGCAACTCAAAACCGAAGGAAAGTTCTGGTTAGGAAAATTGCATGAATTAGTATGTTGAAAATACACTTTTCAACGGGCGCCGGTGTGTTAATTCTTGAAATTAATTTATTTTTATTGAATTTTTGTTACTGTGCAAGGATGAATTCGCCTGAAATATAGTTCATTGGATAGTTTATAACTTGAATTGTATTGAGTAATAATTCTATAGTAACGGTGATAGCTTCCGGTAGTTCAAGGTATCATTGTATTGGTATGGTATTGGGTATAAAATCGAGAATTATTAAGAATAAAGAACTCACTTGTAAACCAAAACTCTACCCAACAGTGTCTATAAGAAAGAAGGTCTTAGCAGTATTAAACAAAATCCTCGGAAGGTCAGTCGAAGTGAATCCCACAAAACTTTAATTAACAACCGGTAAAATGTCTAAAATGGATAAATGACCATTAATCAGTTTTTGATATTTATCCACCATTAAATACATCCACTAATCTATGTGAATGAGGCAGACTTCGCAATTAATTGTTTTAATAAACTTAAATTCATTTCTAGAGGCAATACATCTGGCACCGCTGTTTCAATGATACTTTCACGATTGCTAGCAAAGCAATAAAGTAGAAATGGTTTTCTTGGTGATAAATTTTGTTCACCAAGAGTTTTGTGAAGCAGTCGTTTTGAGTTTCGTGTATTCGATTGCGTTTAATTGTGCTATACTTCGAAGAACACAAGTAAGTAAATACAGTGAATGTGTTTTACCCAGAAAATTTTCGATCTAAGATCACGAAATACATGTTTTAAATTTTCGTATTCATAATATATGAATGTATGTGTAAACTAATGATGATGATTTTATCATATTTAAAAAAGAAGAAGAACACACCCTTTGTAGAACTTTAAAAAAAATCTGTAGTTTTTGCTGAAATTAAAAGCTTTCGGTAGAAGGTCTTTCCAAAACTTCTCGAATGATGTTATGTTTCGGATATCAATGAAAGGACCGAACGTTTAGGATAGAAGTTTATTATTTTTACCTATACGGAAAATATATTTTTATTGCGGGTAATTTGTATTTTCCTAGTAGCACCCCGATTAAATAATAACATTTCTAAATGTCTTCGATTGTCGCTTGCATGCTTTTGGAATAGAAATACAGTATCTCCGTCGCTAGTCCGACAAATTAGTATCCGCATTAGCAGGGTTGATCCGATAATCCGACTATGAAATCAAATTCAAAGCATATATAAATCAATGTTACCAATCTAACAATGTTAACAAGTTCCATACGAGACTATAATGTCGGATTATCGAGTCGTCGAATTGACGAGATCCGGATTAGCCACGATTGAAATTAAATCTTGTAGTAAGCTCAGGTTTACGCTTATGTTGCAAACCACTCTATGTGTACTTTCACTGTAAATGACTCATATAACTCGAGCTAATTTCAACCACATCTGTTTCTCGAGGTAACACAGCACACACATTAAATAGCTTATTCAAAAATACACACACTAGAGGTAGATTAGGACACCATAATATCACATTTCATAGAAACGCCGTTGTTCCAACACGCGCTCTGAACTAACTGGTTATTCACTTCTCCATAGGGATGGTTCAGCCCCGTTGACACCGGGCATGCTATTCGAGCTCTTCGAAATCAAGCTTCCATGTAGAGCATCTGGCTTGCAGCAATCGCGGCGAGGAATGAGAACAAGCTCGCCGAGTAAACGGTCACGGCGGTAGTCTCGAGCGCGTCAATCACACTGCCAATCGCGAGTGCTATCAGGAGCTGCGGATGAAATATGAAACATAATATGGAAATTTTCCGGAAAAGTATTCAGCATTGTACCTGCGCTAAGAAAAGCATGCTGCTAAGCATAGAAACGTCAGCTCCAAATCCTCGTCGGCGGTCGTTTTCCACGTACTTTCCATCCTTCATGGCAAACTGGGGGAGCACATTGCAACGGAATAAAATGTTAATCAATGCAACCTAGCAACAGAGCGAACAAAACCGCAGTAGCACATACCGAATTCTTCGCATGGTACCGGGAGATTAACAGGAACGGGACACAGTAGATTGAAGCGTACATAATGCCCACGGTTGGACTGCACACGAGAACCATCCATTTCGTACTGATGATTCCCACCAGGAGCATCCCGACGCTAAACACCAGCAAACCTCCAATTAAAACCATTCGGGCACTGAAACAAAATTTATAGAGAATTATAGATCAAACATGTTTTCTGTGTGGCCAACCAACCTGAAATATTCGATAATGCGTTCGATGACCAACGAGTAGAGAGCGGCACACATGGCAAACAGAGCCATTCCCCAGCAACCGTAACGGACCCCTTCCTCGTACAGTGCCAAATCCGGGGAGCCATCGGGGGCCTGCAAGAAAACGAAAATGTTGCCTATAGTTTATATCTAAATCTACAACTGTTATCTGGTCATTAGAGTGTGAGCCATTTAGCCAAATCCTCTTAGCCTCGAGTATTAAAATCAAACGAAAACGCTCGACGAAATGAAACCTCCCAATGGATCATCCTGCCGGTGAATAACGGGTGTTCAATAAAAAATGAGAATTTTTTCAGTCATACAACTATTAAAAAAAAATTTCAACGAGTTCAGTTTTTTTTATTAAAAACATAATGTTTATTCTTCAAAAAAAAAACGTCAATGAATATTGGAGAACGGGCCCTGGTCAGCCGTAAGACGCAACTAAGTCGCGATGCTCTCACAAGAGCGCTGGACGGCACTGAAATTATTCTCATTTTTTATTGAACACCCGTTAGTGCCTTTCTGGCATATAAGCATATAAACACAAACGAAGTGACAGACGAAGCGGCTCGAAAAATTTGGTGACGAACCTGCTATTGCAATTTTTCAGTGTACCACATGGAAACACTACTACTGGATTGTACCAGCATTTTGACCAAATGTAATAGAATATTTTGGTTATATCTCTTTAACTCAACTCAAAACTGAAATGCATAAAAAAACACACTGTCAAAGATCATTGCAAACAAAATCAACTTTGCTCAAATCAAAACAAAAATACTAGCTCATCTGTTCCCTGATGGCACAAGCTTCTAAGAAAATTCCATTTCAGCGAACCACATTATTTTAATTGATTTCTTCGCCAGTTAGTCGTCTGTCACTTCGTTTGTGCTCAGACAAAAAAAATACTTTTTTTTTTATGTTCCGTTAAAATTTAAGGAGGGTAAATGATAGCTGTTTTCGGGGACCAAAACTTACATTTTCTCACAAACACACTTCGCTTTATGCATTTAAACGATTATCTAGTATTTCAGCTTCAATCTGATTACGTTTGTACAACTGAGCGAATGGAGGTTTTTATTTAAATGAATCATACGCACTACAAAATGCGTTGCCGACAATAAAACAGCAGGCTACCACGTAGTTCAAATGTAAAGCAATATCTTTTTTTTTTTTTTTTTTTTTTAACTCTTTATTTGTTCCAAATTCAAAATAAATTACATTTCATTTTTAACCTAGGTGCTCCAGTTACTACAGTAACTTACCAGCCTTAATTGTTATGATATATATCTAAGTGTTTTTACATTGTTCCTGTCTTGGCAATTCAGTATTTTAAACAGGTTTTTTAAACCTGCATGTCAGTATAACAATTGATAGCTTAAAACTAAATAACTAAAACTAAATCTTATCTAAGTATAAAGGGAATTAATCGTTGCAATTGAGGATTGTAACGATTTTTGCCGGAAATTATTAATTATTTTGTTGGACATTTGTGCTAAAGTCTCAACATTCGAAATTCTATGTACTTCGGTAGTACTGTACCAGGGAGGCAACTTCAAAATCATCTTCAGAATTTTGTTCTGAATCCTTTGAAGTGCTTTTTTCCTGGTAGTGCAACAACTAGACCATATTGGCACAGCGTAAAGCATGGCCGGTCTAAAAACTTGTTTAAATATTAGAAGTTTATTCGTCAGGCAAAGTTTGGATTTCCTGTTAATAAGAGGATACAAACATTTTATATATTTGTTACATTTGGCTTGAATGCCCTCAATGTGATCTTTAAAAGTTAATTTATGGTCAAGTATTAATCCAAGATATTTCACTTGGTTTGACCAGGAAATTGGAACTCCGTTCATAGTGACTATGTGGCTACTACTAGGTTTCAAAAAGGAAGCCCTGGGCTTATGTGGAAATATTATAAGTTGAGTTTTGGAAGCGTTGGGAGAAATCTTCCATTTTTGTAAATAAGAAGAGAAAATATCTAAACTTTTCTGAAGTCTGCTGCAAATAACACGAAGACTTCTTCCTTTAGCGGAAATGCCTGTGTCATCAGCGAACAAAGATTTGTGGCAACCCTGAGGCAAATCAGGGAGGTCCGAAGTGAAAATGTTATACAATATAGGCCCAAGAATGCTACCCTGAGGAACTCCTGCTCTAACAGGTAGTCGATTAGATTTGGAATTTTGATAATTTACCTGCAGAGTTCTGTCAGTTAAATAATTTTGAACTAATTTCATAATGTAAAGTGGAAAATTAAACTTTTTCAATTTAGCAATCAAACCTTCATGCCAAACACTGTCGAATGCTTTTTCTATGTCTAGAAGAGCAACTCCAGTTGAGTGGCCTTCAGATTTGTTTGAACGAATTAAATTGGTAACTCTCAAGAGTTGATGAGTAGTTGAATGCCCATGGCGAAATCCAAACTGCTCATCTGCAAAAATTGAGTTCGTATTGATGTGAAGCATCATTCTATTCAAAATTATTTTTTCAAAAAGTTTACTTATTGAAGAAAGCAAACTTATTGGACGGTAGCTAGAAGCTTCAGCTGGATTTTTATCCGGCTTCAAAATTGGAACAACTTTTGCATTTTTCCATTTATCAGGAAAGTATGCCAAATGGAAACATCTGTTAAATAATTTTACCAGGAAAGACAAGGTACTCCCTGGGAGTTTTTTGATGAGGATATAGAAAATTCCATCATCACCTGGAGCTTTCATATTTTGAATTTTTTTAGTTATAGACCTTACTTCGTCCAAATCAGTCCCCCAGGAATCATCAAAAATATTTTCCCGAGAGAAAATATTCCGAAAATCCCGAGCAACCTGATTCTCAATAGGACTAGTAAGACCCAAACTGAAATTATGGGAACTCTCGAATTGCTTAGCAAGTTTCTGAGCTTTTTCCAAATTTGTGATCAAAATTTTACCACCTTCTTTAAGAGCTGGAATTGGCTTTTGAGGTTTTTTCAAAATTTTTGTGAGTTTCCAAAAGGGTTTGGAACTCGGGTCTAATTTAGAAACATTATTTTCAAAAGTTTTGTTCCTCAGGGCAGAGAATCGCTTTTTAATTTGTTTTTGCAAATCCCGCCAGATAACTTTCATGGCAGGATCGCGTGTTCTTTGAAATTGTCTCCTACGGACATTTTTAAGACGGATCAAGAGCTGAAGATCATCGTCTATTATAATTGAATCGAATTTAACCTCGCATTTTGGTACTGAGGCAGCTCTTGCTTCAACTATAGAAGTAGTCAGAGATTCAAGAGCATAATTAATTTCATCTTTGGTTTGCAAAGGAATGTTTGGATCGAAGTTATATTCCATAAATGTTCGATATTGCTCCCAATCAGCCCTATGGTAATTGAAAGTAAAGCTGTTGGGATTAGAAATTATTTCTTGGGATATTTCAAAAGTTACTGGAAGGTGATCAGAACCGAAGTCAGCATGGGTAACCAATTGGCTACAAAGATGACATGAATCAGTTAAGACCAAATCAATAGTTGAGGGATTTCTTGCAGAAGAAAAGCATGTTGGGCTGTTTGGATATTGAATAGTGTAATAACCTGCAGAACAATCATCAAACAGAATGTTACCATTGGAATTGCTTTGAGCATTATTCCATGAGCGGTGTTTTGCATTAAAATCACCAATAATGAAGAATTTAGACCTATGACGGGTAAGTTTCTGGAGGTCACCCTTGAGAAAATTCTTTTGCTGGCCTACGCATTGGAATGGCAAATAGGCAGCTATAAACGTAAGTTGTCCAAATTTTGTTTCAACAGAAACTCCCAAAGTTTCAGAAACTTTGGTTTCAAATGAAGAAAGAATTTTATGCTTGATTCGTCTATGAATAATGATGGCAACGCCACCACAGGGTCCATCAAGACGATCATTTCTATAAATCAAGTAATTTGCGTCCTTCTTAACCTTATGGTCAGGTTTAAGGAACGTTTCAGTTATAACGGCAATATGCACGTTATGAACTCTCAAAAAATTAAATAGCTCGTCTTCATTATCTTTAAGAGATCGAGCATTCCAATTTAAAATGTTTAATGCTTTAAAATCCATTACTGAATTTTAAAGTCATGACAATATTATTTGCAAATTTTACTCCAGTTTGAATAGCATCAAACATGGAGTTAGATTTAAGCATATCAGAAATCATGTCAATTAATGATTTCTGTAAAAATTCCATTTTAGGGGCAGTAATGCTTCCTAAGTCAAAATTGTCAAAATTTCCGTTAGAACGTTGGTTAGTATTTTGATTTCTACCCGCTGCAATAGCAGCATAGGTAGCTCCATTGACTCGCTGAACATTGTTAGCAGCGAGGGGAGTAGGTACAGATGAAACATTTGAAGCAGGGGTGATATTTGTACCTACGGGTACGAATGTAGAATTTGTTCCTCGCTGACCGTTGTTAACAGCAGAGGAATTTGTACCTGGTCGGAAACGTGGAGCGTTTCCTACCTGTCGGTTAGAACGAGATTGTAGGATCGCTTTGCGAGTCTTACATTCCCAAAAATTGGATTTGTGGTTTTCACCACAATTTGAACATTTAAATTTCTTAGGATCTTCCTTCACAGGACAGTCGTCCTTTGCGTGAGAGGAATCACCACAATTCATGCATTTAGCTGGCATGTAGCAATTTTTAGTTCCGTGACCCCATCCCTGGCACTTACGGCACTGAGTGAGGTTTTGGAAATTTCCTCCAGTCTTCCTGAAGTGTTCCCACTTCACTCGGACATGGAGCATAAGGCTAGCTTTTTCTAAGGCCTTAAGGTTGTTTAGTTCACTAGACTTGAAGTGAACTAAATAAAAATCATTAGAAATCCCGTTGCGCGAATCGCCAGGACGGGATTTCATTTTCATTTTGATTACTTGGAGTGGCACAACTCCAAGTAATTTTGCCAGTTCATCTTTGATCTGATCCAGGGATTCACCACTGGGCAGTCCTTTCATGACAACCTTGAACACACGTTCAGTTTTGGTGTCGTAAGTAAAAAATTTGTGCTTCTTCTCAGTAAGATACTTGAGAAGACATTTAAATCCGTCCAAGGTTTCAGCCAATACACGGCATTCACCCCGACGTCCAATTTGTAGTGAAAACTTAACTT